GACACGGAATTCATAGACTTTCACCAACGGTTTCGCATACACCAACACACTTTATGGGCTCTTATACCAACGAAGTACGTATTCGATCACCAGGTCTCTCACCCAAGGAATTGTCTAGCCCTTCTTACAAACCCCGACCCAATTTTCATGCAGCCGTGCAACTTAGTCGGATTTTCAATCCAACTTTTCCGAGTCCACTCGTATCCACACCCATGTCTGGTGCCCATAGATTCGATAACTCCGTGCAAATACAATGTAATATAACATTGCTACATCGATGTCATGTCCCATATGTAATGAATGTCATATGAGCAAATGTTACCTCATTTATACATATTCCATGACAATTCATATCCAAAGCATATAATTATCAATTCCATCACAATGTTGATATATCTATAAGCGTACATCAACTTTTTTATATCCAACAATACATCACAAGTATGTTATTATATAATACATGTCAATAATACACTTTATTCACAAAAGCAAAATATAAACACATAGCATGCCTATATAACACCAATTTTCATGGAATCACACAAGTAATTTTCACATACCAATTATATGCTAGGAATTTATTTTAAACTATTTCTATACCCATTTTCATACCCCTTTCATCAATTTCACAAACATAAGTAGGTGATATATATTTCTATCAACTTACCCATTTCAATTTCACAAACATAGGTAAATGAAGATATATATCACTTGCCTTTGTTTGTGAAATTGGTTTTAGGGGCGTCACAAATTTAATGAATTGAATTTTTATTAAATGAATTGAATATTCATTTGGTACAAATTTGATGAATTAAATATTAACTGTCACGCCCCAATTTTCATTAAAGCTTGATTTAATAAAAAAAAGATATTTTTCCCAAATTCTCTTGCCAATTTATAATAATAATTGAATGAAATGAAACATTTGGTGTTATCAAAACATATATATATTTTTTTCAAATATTTTGGCAGAGTTTCACTTAAAAATTGGGCTTCCAACCAATTAGTAAGAGCATCCCCGTGAGAGCGTAACATAATTTAAATTAACTAAACATCCCCAACATGCCTCCATAAAAAATATAATCCAACTAAACCCAGGGTGGCAATTAAAGGCCCACAAAGTTCTTCCAAATTCGGATACATTTAATACCAATATATACCACAACTTAATATATAAAGTCATAATTTTACATTACAATACCTAAAATAATAATCCCTCTATGAGATAATCAAGCGTACACTACAAATGCCTCAAGACAATCTTTTCAAACACAATGTTTAAGGGCTAACTAACATTTCTGCATAAGTTCTAATGGTAAATACAAAAAGACTCCAAAAGCGATTCTTTCTAGTCCAAGCTCCCACAAGCATTCCATCGCCTATGCCCTAAGATGCATGCTAATATCTGATAATCCTTTTCCCAAGGATTTACAAAGTTTTAAATACCAACATTCTACAAATCATACAAATAAGTAATTAAAGTTTTCTATAATTAAGCATAGGTACAAGATAATAAGTAAAACATTTATAAAAATCTCCTAACTCCTGAACATTCGAAATATATAAGGTATAAATTAAAATTTTCTATATTTAAAGTCAAACCATCGTAACAAATATCATGCATACCTCGCATATAAACAATATAATCAATCACACCAATTCACACATGAACCATTTCTGGAGAATCTTTTGAGTCTTGCACCCTAGGGTCTCATCGCCCTTTTTGCTTTTCAAGGGGAATGTGTAGGGCACAATTTGTGACGCCACATAGAACATCACCAAAAATTACTACCATAACCAATTCTCCTTAGAACTAGTAGCCGCTTCGGCAACTCACTCAATAGGCCTCAACCATGTACTAACCCTCTGCTTGTCAGTATCAAACAAATATTTTCCAAAAATTATTATTTTTTATATCCATAAATTCTTTTGAAAATATATATCATAACATTGACATTTTATCAAACATGTAGTAAGCTCAAATCTCAAAATTTACATTTTCAAAGCAATATAACCATTTCCAAGAAAATAAATCGTATATATTATGTACAAAATCATAGCATACTTTAAAACTCCCAAATCATAAATTTAATCAAATACTCATAACTAAAATCAAACTAAGGTTTCAAACCCACCACAAAAATTATTTTTTATGCATATAGATTCACAATCCATGGCATATTCAACACTAAATTAAGGTTTATAACAAGTATTTTGCCATCAAACACATAAAAAACTTTAACTAAAGAAAATACATGAGATGCACAATGTAAATGCAAGAGAGAGGAAAACTCCACCTAAGAATCAAGAATTCCAAGCCAAATTCTTAGGATTTTCAAGCAAAATCCAAGTTTTAAAGTCATTCTTCTATTTTCTTCTCTCTTTCTCTCTCTAGTTCTAAGGTGGGTAGAGGAGTTTTAGGTGAGAGATGTGAGAAAAATGAGAGAAATAGACTAAATTTAGGATTTTAAACCCAACAATTCCCGTCAGAAACATTGTTCATGCAAAAAAAAATTATTTTGTCCAAAATTATAATTTTGCCCCTAAAAATCTCCAATTTGATCAATATGACTACCCTAGTATTTTTTGACATTCTGGTTTTATTTTTAATGTTATTTTAACCTAAAAGCATTTTAATCTCAAAACTAAAGTTAATATACACTCGAAACACTAAAATTACTATTTTATTTCTCCGAATCGCTATATGAGTTAAATGTCTATTCCAAATTTTTCGGATCTCCCAAATTCAATGGTAATATTATTTTGATCTAAAATATTAATATTTTTACTTATTTACCCTCATCAACCGTAAACACCCCCAAAAATTAAATTTGACTCAAAAGTCAATACGTTTGTATTTCAAACCTGTGCGACTATTCCTTTTACAATGATTCAAAGTTTCTCTCATCATTTTAATTATTTTAAAAATTCTAGCAAGTTAATATTGTTTATATTTATGTAACACACGGGATCTCACATTAACTGGATGAAATTATATGTTACTTTGGTATTGATTTAATTAATTGAATCTTTATTGGATGATTTTGGATATTAATTTAATAAATTGAATGTTAATTGGATGAATTTGAATATAAATTGTATGAATTGAATGTTAATAGGTGAGAATTTGATGAATTAAATGTTAATTTAATAAATTGAATATTAATTGGATGTAATTTGATGAATTTAATGTTAAATACTTGAATGTGAATGTTAATTTGATAAATTTTATTAGATGAAAGTAAATATTAATTTGTTGAATTAAATAAAAATTTGGTATTGATTTGATGAATTAAATATTTATTGAATAAAATTGCATATTAATTTGGTGTTTATTTGATAAATTAAACCTTTATTGGATGATTTTTCATTTTAATTTGATGAATTGAATGTTAATTTGGTGTTAATTTAATGAATTAAATAGTAATTGTATGAAATGAATTTTAATTTTGTGTTAATATGATAAATTGAATATTAATTGGATATAATTAAATATTAATTTGATAAATTTAATGCTAAATGGTTGAATTTGAATGCTTATTAGGTGAAAGTGAATGTTCATTTGGTATAAGTTTGATAAATTGAATATTAATTTGATGAATTTAATGTTAAATAGATGAATTTCAATGTTAATTTGATGAATTGAATTTTAATTGGATGAATTTGAATATAAATTTTATGAATTGAATGTTAATATGGTGTTAATTTGATGAATTGAATGTTAATTTGGTGTTAATTTGATAAATTGTATAGTAATTTGATGAAATTGAATGTTAATTTGATGAGTTTAATATTAAATAGTTAAATTTGAATGTTAATTTGATAAATTTTATTAGATAAAATTGGATGTTAATTTGTTGAATTGAATATTAATTTAGAATTGATTTGATGAATTAAATGTTAATTGGATAAAATTGCACGTTATTTTGGTGTTAATTTGTTAAATTGAATCTTTATTGGATAATTTTCGATTTTAATTTGATAAATTAAGTGTTCACTAAATGAATTTGAATATAAATTAAATGAATTGAATTAAATGGTCAACAAATTAGCTCTCAATAACATTACTCTTGGAGGCTGTTTGTTTGAGGTATAAGGGTGGTATAAGGGGGTTATATAAGGAAAATAGTATGTGGGGTCTATCTTAAATCTTGTTTGTTTACGTTTTTTATTAGATACTAATTTCCAAGTCATAGTACCGATTCGGTGTGAACAGTAACACTAATGTCTTCTACAGTGTGCTATTCAATACCACCTATCCGGTGGTATAATATTCTTAGTATAAATGAATGGAGGTATAATAAATTAAAAAAATTGAAATACCTTCAGGTACAATGCCCATATACCTAGTCTCCCATTGAGTTTACACCGGAGTCTTGGACTTTTCAAATCATGGCAAAGTCTTTTTCATTGTTGTCTTTTTTGGGTACATCTAGGCCAGTTTGTTTCAAGTATAAAATTTATGTGGTATAAAATTTTATATTTATTTCATTTCAATTCAACCCGGTCTTAAACTATAATCTCATTCTTCCTCTCGTTTGTTTGTCACAAACATTATCTGTGTAATACCTATTTAAAAAAATCAACAATTGTCACTAACTAATGTAAAAAGACAATTTTAACCTTAAAAAGTTAAAAATTGCAACTAAACTTTCATATACTTGAGGGCATTTTAGTCTTTTTAGTTTATTATACCTCCATTTATTTCTACCTAGAATATTATACCATCGAGTAAGTGATATTGACTAGCACCGTGTAGAAGGCATTAGTGCTATTGCTCATACCGAGTCGGTACTATGACCCGAAAATTAGTACCTAATAAAAAATACAGAACAAACAAGGTTTAATGTAGGTCTCACGTACTATTTTCTTTATATTATCCCCTTATACTTCAAACAAACAGCCCCGTAATATTGAATAGCGGATGAGACTTTTAAACTTATTTAGTTAAATCTTTAACAGAGAAGGTTCTAGATTCATTGCACATCTTTTTTAGTTTAATGGTAAATTTCATATTTCGTCTATTTGATTTTAATTTGATTTATAAACTTTCAATCCTATTTTGCATAATTAAGTTCTTTCATTTATTTTTACAATTAGATCAATACCGAAATAGATCAAATTTAACTAATTTTTAGTTGATCTAACAGTAAAATTTGATTGAATAATTTAATTAAGATGAAATTGATAATTAAGGAGCTAAGTTAAAATACTTGAAAGTTTAGAGACAAAATTATAATTAAAAATAAAATTTAAAAATCAATTATGATATTTATCTTAGCTCTCGAGACATAAAACATAAAGGCCATTCACCATTATATTTATTTTCAGATATGAACAGAGAATGACCCTTTTGAACCTCTTTCTGAAAAGGTTAGGTTCATCGCACCTCTGTTATTTAAGTTCAATGATTCATCCATTTTACTATCTGCAGCAATAGAACTTTTGGCTTTCACCCAATTCCGGATCACCAGAAAAATACCGTAAGCGGAGAAAAATAATCGTACAATGTCATCGACGGAGGAGGACAGTGCATAACGAACTCTACGTTTTCTCGGGCCGAGACGGAGACGACGACGACGACGACGAATTTGAAAGCATGAGTAAGTCCCCTCTTTCTCGCTGTGTATGTATATCACATATACACTAATTACAATTAATATCACACCAGTGTAAGTAATAAAATTAATGTTCCTCTCTCTTCCAGTTCACTAATTATCTGTTTCTCTTTTCCCTCCAACCCCAGAAAAAATTAACAATGGGCTGACAAAAGCTGTTATGAATCCAACCCCAGAAACTCTTAGCAATCAATGGCTGACAATAGCTGTTATGAAAGATTTACTCAGGCGCCTTTACTTCTATGGTCCAGATCGATTTCCAGTTCTATTTCAGTTTTGGACGCCTAAATCAAAGGGAGGTAACTGGGTCCTTACAACTTCAGATCAACCTTTTGGTGTTAAAATTTTTCATAAAGGACTCGCTGCGTGTAGGAGTTACTGTGTGCATAATAATTATGTTATTAGTGACAATAAAGGAGACATTGGCCCTCACTTGCGTGTGTTCCGAGGTAAATGCCTGGAATGGATTACAAATGTAGGGTGTTATTCTGTCAAAGAGTATCCACAGCAGCAATATGCTATTTTTGTGGCGTACGGGGACTGCTGGCTTTGCCATTAATTAGAGATAGGGGCGGACCCTGTATTGGTGTACTGGAAATCTTAACGACTTCAGACCGACCCATAGGATGGTCGGATGTTATGAATGTATGCTTGGGGCTTAAGGTTAGTATTTCTGATGTAGTTTGCAATATTTAGTTTAGCTTCTTTTTTTTTTTTCATTTTGGCTTTATTTAATCTTTTATCGTAGGCGTATCACAATGCATTCATAGTCTGCTTACAAGATGCTTAAATACAACTTTAAGCTATCATCCGGCACCCATCTATTAGAATTTGTATTTCTTATGCACTGAAAATAAATAGTAAAAAGAAATAGAAACACTACAGAACCCGTGAGATAACATAGTTCTGATCCGTATGAGCAGTGTTCCAAAAATTTATAATCAAGAATGAAGATTACAAAATAGTTATCTAAAACGGAATGAAGGGAAATAATTTCCCAACTCTAGTGCATATTTCCAACACATATGGGCACCCAAAAACTCTTGTTTCCTAATTTTACCGGATTTCAGTAAACCCTTGTTTTCTAGTTGGTGTAAGATTTGTGTATGTTACAATATGACATATTTTTCATATATTAAGGCTCCCTTTTTGCTTTAGTAGACTCCACAATGCACCCCTTTCTACCTTCAAAATCTTATACAAGAAACATTCGCAAACAACAAAATTATGAATTTAGAAAATAGAATACAACAATTATTGTCCTAGGATTACATTACAACGTAATCAATTTAGCGTATTCAATCATTTACATAAATCATAAGGCTGCGCATATCATGTAAACTTTCCTAAATGCTTCCAGCCTTTTATCTTCCATTTGTGACGGTTCAATATTACTTAGTTACATTAATTCGGTTCCCTTGTAGGTAGCAGGTCTGGTGTCTCCAAATAAATACAATCCTCCTTCTGTGCTCGTAAGTTGCAAGTAAATTACAAATGTCAATTTTTTTTGTGTTTTCAAATATACCTTCAGACACTGCAAATAACATCATCTTACTAGATGTTTGAACGTACAAAGAATGCATTCCAAGAAATCAGTAAGGCATTAGACGAGGTTTGTAAAGCACTTCAAATACCTTTTGCTCAAACATGGATTACATGCCTGGATTCGGTTGCTGGCTACAGTTTCTTTGATGGAAGTGGGCATGACAAGTTGACAACTGTTAATGCACCGTTTTTTATGGCAGTGGATGACTTATACCGTTTCCACATAACACATCAACTATATCATATACAAAAGGGCAAGGGAGTTGTTGGCAGAGCATTTTTATCCCATAATGCATGCTTCTGCAAAGATACAACTAAGTTGAGCATAATTGAGTACCCCTTAGTACACCATGCATATGACGCTGGGTTAACTAGCTCTTTTGTAATTTCCCTGCGGAGTTCATACACTGGAGATTTTGTTTACATACTGGAGTACTTTTTGCCCCCTGTAAAAATAGATGGTGAAGACCTCCAAATGTTTTTGGACTCGTTATTGGGCACCATGAAGCAGCATTTCCACAGTTTTAGGGTTGCTTCAGGAGAACTGGGTGAAAAATTGTCTGTTGAAGTCATTAAATTGTCTATGGATGATAAACTTAACTCCTTTGAAATATGCCAAACGACTAGATCTCCACCTAGGCTTGAAGCCCTTAGAGATGGAGGAGAGATAACAGTGGAAGTTGCCACAAATAGTGGAAGGAATGTTGTTGGTGCAGAACAAAGAAACTCAACTAGCTATCTGCCTATGCTTGAGGCCTGTCAAAATGGAAGCAAGATAGTGCAGCCAGATTCATCATATCATAAAGCTATGACTGAAGTTGATGCCACCAATAGTGGAAGGAATGTTGTCAGTGTAGAACAAGGGGATTCATCACATTGGAAATCTATGTCTGAAGTTGGTGCCACAAATTGTGGAAGGAATGTTGTTAGTACAGAACATAGAGCCATTAGCAGTCTCTCTGCGGTTCTGGCCTTGTAAAATGGAGGACAGACAGTGCAGCTAGATTCATCATATCAGAAAAATATGGCTGAAGTTGATGCTACAAACAATGAAAAAAATTTTGCAAGTGCAGAGCAAAGCGATATTGCTGATATTCCTCTAGAGAAAAGAGGCCCAGCAGAGGGATCTGACAGAGAAGGTGAAATTAGTCGTGAGGTTCTGGAAATACTATTTGGAACGGATATTGAAAATGCTGCAAAGATTCTTTGCGGTAAGCTTATGCCCATGGAAAATCATTGCTCGTGATCTTCATCTTGTCATTTACGAGTTGCTATGTTCTTCTTATAGCTTCTTGTGATTGTAAAAGGTTCTCTTCTCTTTATTTGTTTGTTTTGCAGTTAGCCGATCTACATTTAAGCGTAAATGCAGATAACATGGCATCAAGCGGTGGCCGTTCCCCAAGCGAAACAGGGTTACTCGCTCCCCTTCTCAGCTTGAATCTATTCGAGGCGCTAACAAACAAACCGGAGAATCTAGTCGGAGAGACTGTCTGCCTTGTGATAAGGCTCCTAAGCAAGCCACAACTTCTATTGCTTCCACAATGCCACATGCTTCAGCAAAGCAAAATGAGAGCTCTGTGACCATTAAGGCAACATATGGGGACGACATTATCAAGTTTCAACTCTCTTTTTCGTCAGGAATGGTGGAGTTAGAGGAGATAGTGGCAAAAAGGCTAAACTCAAAGGCTGGAAGTTTCAAAATCAAGTATGCAGATGAAGATGATGATTCGATTTTAGTGTCCTGTGATGAAGCCTTGCAGGATTGCATAAATAGTTGGAGATCATCGGACAGGACTACAGTCAAAATGTTGGTTCTGCCAATTATCAATTAATTACCTTGAGCCTTGACTAGAATGTATTTATGCGTATTTCTCTTTGCTTATGTCTATCTTTATACACATCATTGCACACTTACATACATGAAAAAGTTTACCATCTTTGTATATGTTATGCTTCGACCTAACTGTTCCTCTTTTGTCCTCTGCCAAAACATTAACTTACAAACATTTTATGTTGAATGTCTTCTTAGTTCCTGAACAGAAGATAGTCCACTGTTTCTGCAAATACGATTGCAGTTGCAGACTTAATTGATTACTGTCTCATACATATAATTATTTTGCAACGAGGAACCTCCCTAAAGCATAGTTGTATTAGATATATTTCTATAAAGTAAGTACTCTGAATATTTGTAATCATTCGTTAATTATGGATATCGATTAAATTTCAAAGTCATCCTTATATCCAATTTGATCCAATGGGGTTGAAGAGTGAGTGTTTTAAGGATCATTATAAGATTAGTTATGACTTGAATCGGCTGAGGTTTAACGCTTGTTCTGTATAAATCTAAAGCATCAAGGATAGAAAACCTTAAAGTTCACTGTGGCTTCCTAGGTATCTCACAATAGAACTCGTTACCTTTTTGCTCCATCAAGAGAGCAGGAAAGTGCACAGAGAAATCTACTGATCAACTTCAATTTTTATTGAAGGAGCCGCTTGACAAGAAAGATTCAAAAGTTGCTAGATTTTGCTATGTCATATTGTCTTAATTTCATTTATTAATGAATATATTTCAAGCTTCATTCAATTATCTATCCCGACAAGTTGAAATTAAATAAGTTTCACCAAATGATTTTACTCAAATAGGTGCATGACTCTATCAAACGATGGAACAGAACTCCAGTTAGCACATCTTCAAAACATTTATATTTCCTCATTAACTGAAATTATGTACTAAAATAAAATTTTGATCCTTAATCATACGTTCTCTGATAAAACCTGCTTATACAGAAGAATAGACAGCGGATCTACATAAACTTAAAAATAGGTTCGAAGAAAACTCACTCCCATACAACAAGAAATCTGGACAATAACCAAATACAAACATAATGCAATATCCCCAGAAGCCCCTGATTATTAACGAAAAATCTTTCTTTTCCAAAATGAAATGTACAAGAAGCGAATAGGTTTCTAATCCAAATATGTTCTTAAGCAGAAACACACCAATGGTGGGGCAATCGGTAGAAGGGCCACGTTATTGTTTTCTCCTTTTCCATTCTATTCTGTCAACACACATACACATTACATGCCGAACCCCACAAAGCCTCTTTGGATGTTCAATCACAACATAGTTAGTCTGGTACTTTAGAGAAACTCAATGTGCTTCAAGATACTCACAATCAGCTACAACACGTGAAAAGAAACACAAAAAATGCTGACAAGAGGATTATTGTCAACAGCACTTGTATTCGGGAATCGAACAACAGAGCCCAAATCAAGTCAAAAACATATTCAACAACAAAGGGCACTTCAAATACCTGAAGCACAAGCCCACAGTTCAGTTACATTAATCAAGAAGCAATTCCAACTCAAAGAGGAAGTAAAAACAAGAAAATGAAAATAAGTGGCTGCTGCAATGTAAAGTGAAAAGCAAACACGTTTCCACCAACCCAAGAACCCGAGTGTTCTCACTTGTCAAGTTACTTAGTCAAGCTGTCCAAGTTCAAGTAGATGTGGAAAATTTCTCAAATCCCAAGAAACAATATTCGATTGGGTGGGTTCAGCAGGACTGGATGCAACATGTATAGCCTCCGATACATTATGTATTGGCTCATTATCCTACTATCAAAGAATGATCAAGCTTTCATTCTACCCGTAATGGAGTTTTATTAATTAGTTCAAAGCCTCAAGATATAGCTACTGTTGCGGAAATTACCGTAGAAATCGAATTTAAACTGATATTGACACTCACACTCAAGTGAAAAAATAAAAGAACAATCACACAAGACCAAGCAATTTACGTGGTTCGGCAATTGCCTATGTCCGTAACAACAACGATCGGATGTTTTCACTATTTAGAATAAACAGAGAGTACAAGAACAATTGTTCTCAACCTCACAAATACTCACTCCAACAAAATAGGATCACTCTGATATCTCACTAGTATCACTCACAAATCTGAGAACACTCAAATTGATACCTGATACCACTCAGGAGAACTCACAACTCTCAAATGTTTGAGCTCTCAATTTTCTGATGCTTAACATCTGTCAGGACCTCCCTTTATATAAGGAATTGGAAGTGGAAATGGACAAAGCTGCATATCAGCGCAAATCTGCACCTGAACTGTGCACCCCTGTCTGAGCCAATTTTTCTTGCGTAGCCCACATGTTGCTGACCTATGCCCATCACCTATGCTACTCATTTTGTCAAAATGATGGGGGCTCCCTATGTCCATGCAGTAGCCTTATCATGGCGTTCTTGCCAAAAGTTTTTGGCCACATTAAAAGGCGTTGTGCCAGAAAGGCCACAAAGTCAACAACTATTTCCCCTCATTTTTCTACGAAAAGACTCAAGATAAAACAACTAATACGCCCTCGGGTTCAAGAGGACTGAGCCATAAATCAAATTAATCATTAAATATTTTGAATACCATAGACAAAGATATTCAATAAATCTATTACACTTGTAGATACCTTTCGGAAACAAACTTAGTAATTGTAAGCGGTGTATACATGGTTTTTCTAATAATTCAAAGTAGAGGCATAACAGACTGCAACACACATTGTGATGTTACATGCGCAACCCTAACTCTGTTGTGATAGAATGAGCAAAGCTATTCCAGCATCTTGGCAGACTAACATTAATCAGTTCAAGACTCTCTGATGTCAAATATTGTACATTCCTCAAATAAGAGAGCCACTTTGGGACTAATGATTCGTTTGTTAGGGAGTATGGAAAGTAAGATGGATAGAAAGTAGGGACGATACACTTTCTATCCTTTAAAGAAGCTTTTTTCTTTCCTTTGTGTTTGGTATGATGGATGAAAAATAAAATAATTAATTTTTTTGTGTTTGGTATGCATAAAAAAAATGGAAGAATGGAAACCATATAAATGCATAATTTACTATTTCTCATGCGATTCTTCACATTATCCTTCTCCAATGGGAAATCAAGTTTTTCATTGATTGTTTTCAAAACATTATTGAATGCAGACCAAGTCCCATTTGATTTATTTCCTTTCAATTGCTCATCCAACAATGCATCAAGTAAAATTTCATCTCAACGTTCTGTCCATGTCACATTATCCTTCTTGATGTCATCACCATTTTCATTTTTCTTTGATTTCTCTCCCATTACTCAAACTGCTTGTCAACAAACCAGCAAAGTCATCCCACAATACGGTAAAATGACTTCAAGAGCATAGACACAACTTACTGATTAAGACTTCAAGATTAGCTCTGATACTACTACTTTGTTAGCTTTATACCACTTTAATTATTAGAAAAAACTGGAGGGTGTGATTTGACAAATTTATGGTGAAGTAAACTGGAAGACATCAAGTGCATCTAACATGCCTTTACTACATTTTTTTTTTTTACTCCAAATTCATAGCAGTCACAGGTACTATTAATTTTCATTAGAGTAAGGCAGTAAAAGCATTATCCCAATATAAGATTCTGCCCAAAATCCTGCAAATATATGTGAATTGGGTAGATAATTCTTCTAAAGCACCAACAGCAAAATCATACAGTTTGAAAACAGAACTAATTAGGTCTGCAAACTCATTAAACGGATCAGTCACAAATGAAAAAAAAAAAAAAAAAGAGGAAACACTAAAGATTTGGAAAAAACATATGGACGAAAAAAGTACCAAGGCAGAGAAGCATACCTCACAGCAAATACACCTTTTTCTGTAATCTTTCCAATGAAAAATTGAAATATTACAGATCGTCTGGAAAATGCAACAAAGAACATAAAACCCCAAATTAAAAGTCCAAAGACGAACACACTACAATAAACAAAACAAAGAGAGATAACCCAAAAAAGATAAAGGAGAAAAATATTCCAATTGTCTAGAAAATGTACAAAGCAATAACAATACTCCATAACATCATAATATACGAGATAAATTAGCATAAATCAGCGAATTCATCCCATATAATAGTAAGAAAGTAGCATTACAACTTCAGCAACAAAAACATGACATTACAAAGTAAAACATCATAATCTATGAGAGATATAATCTTGCCACATGCTTGCTTCTATAGAATCCCTAATAATTGCACCATGCCTAGCATCATCATCATTACGTGCATTGGAAGACTCTTTGGTTTGTACCTCACTATTTGAGAGTTCAATATAAACCTCAGCAATCAATCTTTCCTAAAGATCAACTCCCATGAGATAATTATGAAGGATACAACATGCTAGAACATTTTAGTTACCATGTCGACAGGATAATGGGCATCTACACCAGTTCCAATAATTGGAAAACATTTTTAAGCACTCCAAATGTTCTTTCAATTATATTACGAAGTGAAGAATGTCAATGGATAAATATTTCTTAGGGATTTTCTGGAGCACGTGCGAAGTATTCTTTCAACTTTCAAGTGATAGCGCACACCTCACACCACTATATGGAGCAATAAGGCCACTTCTGAAGATGTAACCTCCATCTATGAGATAATATTTACCTAGAAAATAAGAAAGCATCTATTAAAGATTTTCATACATAGATTATATTTTAGTAACGCAAAATTACCTCTAAGAATCAAGAGTTTATCTTCCCTAGTTAAAGCAATTTTTAATATTCTTGAGTCAATGCAGTCCATTCCCATCCTAGTAATACATATGTAAATTTCATGTCAAATGACCAAGTTGCCAAGACATTTTGTGTTAGATAATTTCTCCTCCCTCACTATCTTGGTGCATCAACTTCAGATACCTTGACACGAATATGTGTCCCATCAATTGCACCCACACAATACTAAAATGTTTAAACATCAATTCTATTGAGAGGTTTTCTCTAGGCAAAGGTATTAAGGGTACGGTTACCTTAAAGTATGGATAAAATCTATCATTGTTGAGTATCTAAAGAGGGACCTCTGAACCGGTGGGTTGCTTTAGAAATATACCTTCTAAGCTAATTATAGCTCTTAGAACTTCATGAAAGTAGCGACTTCCAGTCTCACCAAATCGACAGAAGATAAATTGCATTTCACAGTTTGTTACATTACGTGCTATTACATATAGAAATTTAGCCATTTGTTCCTCAACAAGAGCATTCATATTATCATTGAGACGTTCGGTCCTTCGGAGTAACTCACATAACCTAGCAAAAGTATCAATCCCCATGCTATAATGTTGCAACATTCTTCACTACTGGTGAGTTATGTCACGAGTTCTTGCCTTACACACTCTCTTTCTCTATTCTTTGGGCCAATTGTTCTATCAATGTATTGTGAATGTTCAATAATCCTGATTAAGACAAGAGCATGAACCACATGACAAACAAGTTGAATGGTAGTCATACGCCATCTTCGTTCCAAGCTCTCTTCCCCGTTATCCTCTTAATTATCCTCCTCAATACCGTCCTAAGTTCCTTCCAAACTCTCTTCCCGCTCCATCTAGAAAATTAAATTGGCTAAACTTAGGAAAACTAATATATTTATGAGAGTTATCAAACACCTATGTACACTTTGAAAGTCATTGTCCAAAGAAAAATCAAAAAATACAATAAAAGAGATCTATACCAAACATGATGTTTTGTCTATCCTTCCAACTTTCCATCCTTTTACTTTTTCATTGTACCAAACAAAGCATAAAGGTTGGTAGAAAAGAAGATGGGGAGGATGTAGTAAGGAAACCAGCAAAACTGAAATTTCTAACGATACCATGCAGAGAGTAAATGTACAAACATTCAGGGTAGTGGAAGGACACCCTGTCATGTCCCTTTTGTACTTCACCCTTCAACTTCTTTGGATGTCCATTAGTGTATAAAAATTTGAAGTTCTACAAAGAACAAAAACACAATTAACCAAAATATGGCCACAGGAATGAAAAACATAATTTCTTACATAAAAGCAAAAGTGCAGCATGAGCCAAAATGGTAGGAAAATGCAGGTTTTGAATAGATAATGACCAACCTGTGACCTTTGGCACCAGCAGGTTACAGTGTGAAAAGCCCCCTAACGACTACACAAAGATAAACAGCAAAATGAAATGCAAGAGCAAGAAGGAAGAAACATATGCATTCCAATATTGCAAGAGAACAACATATATTTTCCCAATATCAATTACAAGTACCATAATATGTTGAAATACAACACTTAATTTTGAGATTAATGCCTGCTACATGCAAAAGGAGAATCGCTTTCCCCCCAAACACCACCACACATACTCCCACCAACCCACCACCTCCCCCCCCCCCAAAAAAAAAATAATAATAATAATAATAAATATAAACAAACAACCAGTTGGTAGACAGAAGCAGAGGAGCAATGGCGCAAAAAACCATAATAACAAATTTTCAAAACAGGCCCCTTCCTAAAGCCAAACCGCAGTGGCATGAAACATGCTATAAGACAATCACGATGAGCATGGATTTACAAGCACATGAATAACTGAAAAAGAAAAGGAAGCAACCATGCCACGCACTGATATCCATCCGGTACCCATGTAGAAAAGATCTCACAAAAATCATCAGAAAGATTGACCGGCCATTTCCCAGATATGTGGCAGAATTCAAATAAATGACCCATATTTCATTAGACAAAAATCATATAGAAAGTATACAGGTAACTCCCAAATTGCGGTTTGAAACACATAAATTTAACACTAATAAACACTTGCTGAGAGAAATTTAACACAACTTACAAGATTCCTTTCCCAGACCGCAAACCTCTTTTCACTCGGTGGCTCCATGATTTGATACCATCAGAATAATTCCTCCTGAAGTGACCTTGTCCAAACTTTACGTGAGACCACAAAATCCTCAAACCACGTTAGCTCAACAGCAGGGACAAGTACATTGTAGGAGAAAATTTTAGATGGTGATTTTATATCTTTACATTTTCATAGGGAGAGGGAATGATTGTTTAAAATTGTAAAATCTCTTCTGGCCACCAATCAACTGTTCGCGGTGCAATAATTTTTCCAGCACTTGGTTAATTGATTCATTCAAACAAATGTAGCATTAACAACACAGCTTGGTCATCAGCCAACTATAATATGTTGATCCCTGTGTGTATATTTGGAAAAAACCAAGTGAACATATGAAGTCCTCAATATTATATACATAAAACATGTAATGCAAATCTCAAAAAGTGTTGAAGGAACTATCGAGAAATCCATGGAGCTCAAAATTCTGCAAAAAAAAAAAAAAATTACAACAGAGAAGCCCCATAATTTGTTAGAACAGACACGTTGTTTGAATCAAGGAGGATTTTTAATGATTTCTTTGAATAGGTATACAAAGGATGGCAATATTTACAAGTGCCAATTGACCTGAGACATATCTAAAGGTAACTATTTTTCCCAAACAACAATATGGTCGTCTAAAGAGTTAAATAATCCAGAAGAATGCACAATATTTTGTCATGATCAAAACATGTTCAACTCTGAAAGGTCATCCATAGGTATTTCAAGGCCCATTGAATCATGGTCTTGTAAACCATCCTCATCAAAGTTCAACCACGAACAGAGATCTTGATTTCCATCAACGTCAGCACCTACATTTAGTTCTTCCATCGGATCTAACCTATGAAGCTCCAAGTTTGCAAACCCCATTGGTTCTCTGTTATCCATCGATGAATCCTGAGGAATGTTACCAGGAGACATGAACCCAACCTCTCTTTTTCTGTTGCCACTACTATTGACTAATTCAGTAGAACCACTAGCTGAAGTACACACAGGATGTGTTGTTTCCGTGAATGGGCTAGAAAATCCATTTCCAGATGTTGATAGCTGAGCTGTTTTCTGCTTAGGTTTCGTTTTCGTTTTCATTTTGCGCTCACCCTTAAAGCTACACATAGATGAGCATCCGGATTTGGGAAGAGCATTTCTGGTTGAAGTATCTTTGTCCCTCTCTCTTTCGCTTCTCTTTCCCTTTGTTCCACACAAAGGAGAGGTACCAAGAGTTGATGAGGTTCTCAAGGCAGCATTGCCAACTACGTCATCAAGAAATACTTCCTTTTTCTTCCCTCTGTTTGATATTGGTCCTTTTTTGGCAAAAGCTTGATCACTCAAAACTTCAACTGCAGATAACGGACCCCCATCAGCACTACTGACGAAGGAACCTGTTAAAGCAAAAAAGCAATTCGTTGACACAGCCAAGCTGAGTGAAACTAAAGTTTCTAAACTAAATACTAAGAAATCCAGGGGTGTTGGGAGCAAGTCAACATGAGTGAGCCAAAATATGTTTTACAGATCACAGACCATGTAGATAGACCCAACAAATACCACCTTCTTTAGGTGTCTAGCAGAACTCAAGCATCACAAAAGAAAATAATTGCCCAAAGTTATGCAATATTCATGAAATGATAACCAGGCATTCTGCCTTATCGCATGGGGTCAGTCTGAAGGTCATAGAAGTTGAGATGCTTACAGTTAGAACCTTCCAGGCCAGCACAAGTTGTAGCTTCTAACTCATTGCATCGAAGAGGTGCAGCAAAAATAATATCCCGAAGTGCAGGCTCAATAAAGCAACTTGTCCCTGAATCTTCAAATTGCCTACATCTAGCAAGAGTCCTCTTCACAAAAACCAAGGCAACTTGTTTTGACACCTTAGCAACCCTACTTTTAGCAGCACTACCTCCTCTAGTAGCCTGTGAAATTAACCCGAGATATATTTGAGGATTTAACTCGAAAGTAATAGTTTGCAGAAGCATAGCTACTTTGATGATATTCAACCAACAAAAATTCAAACTATTGGAGAAAGGATATAAAAATATGTGAACTTTTGCATTCTTTACAAATAAAACGGTTACTGTAATCAGGAGAAGTTCATTCCTGTCCAATTAATTTTCCATCATCAGACAAAAATTCTGATTTGATCTACAAAACTATCCCACAATACCCATTCTCCACTCCACTTCTCCAACCATCAAAATAAATTGAAAAAGGTGCCAAAAGGTATTTAAGTGCATCATTATGGAGGGCATACGGTTATATACTATTCCATCAAGCTTGGAAGGAATGGAAAATTAAGAAAGAAAGACAACAAGGTAAAGGCAGAATCAAAAAGCAAAAATATTTAGTTTTCGCCAAGAAATTTCCCCGTGCATTTTACAAGCATCAAGGCAAAAAACCTCCAAGGACAAGTTGAGCAACTCCAACAAACTCGAACAAGGTATATGACCTCTTGTATATTCTTCCAACAAGGGTGACATAGCAATGGAACTCAGATAGAGATCACACTAAGCAGACAGGCAAAATACAGAGGAGTACAATGCCAGTTAAATGGCAGACACATCTTCCTATGGATATTTTTGCATCGTTACAGTGGGCTTAGAGTAATACATTATTCCATATTCACCATTTTGGAAGAACTTAGAAAATAAGAAAGAATGACATAAAGGTAAAGCTAGAATTAAAAATCCAAATATTAGTTTTCATTTGAGAGATATTTGTAAGCAAGTATTTTTAAGAAAAAAGTTCCAAAGAATAAGATCAACAACTCCAACAAACTTGACAAACGTATATGACCTCTTGTATATTATTTCGACGAGGGTGCAATGTCAATGGAACTTAAATAGAGGTCACACTGAGCAAACACAGGGAGAATGCAGAGGAGCGAAAATGGTGGATACATATTCCTATGTTATAAAGCGTTAAGAGTATGGGCTCTAGTTATAGACACAAAAACATTGCAAGAAACATTATGAAACATCACAGAGCAATCCGAAACATTCCAAAGATGGGAATTTTGAATTTCAACCACTAATTTGTTTTGGTTTCCACTGAAACCTAAACTCTTTGAGTGAAACAAAACAAAAGTTTGATCCTTGGCTTCTACTTTTGGAGAAACAACCAGTAACAGGAAAAGGAATGAACAATTACCAACAGCTTTTTGTAAGCCAACTCCACCATTCTATCCATTGCAATCTGTTCAAGGTCCCTGCACACAGTAACAAACATTGTAATCACCTCAACATTACCAACATATCTGTAAACTAGGCTCATGATAGAAATCTTAAAGGACCAATGTCATAAAACCATGCAAATATTGAGTATTTACCGTCCTGCCACTTCCTTCCCTCCCTGAATGATTTCATATATTTTGCCTAAGCACATCTTCTTTTTACCAATCTAAGATGTCAGAAATAAAATAAACAAAATTTATTAAGTAATATGTCATAGACATATAAAAATAGAACGAATGTTCAAACAATGTTGTAATCACATTGTGCCTGTGCTGTGAATATATAAAATTTCTGATCAAATGAGGTAACAGATATGTTTGTGGATAGAGAGATGTTATATGAGGCAAAAAGTTAAACTAACGCGACATAACCTGTTCATAAAGTCCCCTCTTCAGCTGCACAATTTCTTGATTGAGCACTTCATCCTCTCTATCATCTAAGTCAGGCTGCGGTATCCCAGAAAGAAAGGCAAATATAGGGGAAAAAACACAACAAAATTTAGAATAATTAGAAATAAAAGCTAACTAGGGTTAGAATGCTATAATTTAAAATGAGCGCACCATTCTATTCACATACAAATGAAGAACAATACAACAATGTAACCTTCCCCCCCCCAAAAAAAAAAAAAAACACACACACACACACAAGCCTCAGACAGTAGACTTTCACACAGAAAATGTTGCCAGTGGAGCTGGAAAACTTTATAAAATAGCTTTTTAATTGAAAATTGATAACCACCATTTCATTGGCATATATTAGTTAAACCTACCACTGCTTCTGGATATAGGCCGATACTCTGCAGCTCCAGCAACAGTTTATCATCTAGACACATTTTCTCAAATTGGCAATCAACGGAACAAAAGCCAAAACCATTCTTTCCTATACTCTGTGGTCCTTCCAGATCATTTCTTGAAAGCTTAGCCAACACCTCGACATGTGAATGCATAGATACACTATCCCCTACCAATAGGTCATTATTACATGGGGGATTTTGGATACTGGTGCTTCTACCAAAAGTAATATTCCCGTTGCAAGAAACTAATCTGCTTCCAGTACCATGGTCCTGAGTTTGAACGCCAAACATCATCTCACATTCAAATTCTAACCCATCCCTCCTTTTAGGTTCAGTATCAATGAGTAGGTGTGCATTGAGAGGTGAATCGCCAGTAGCATTCTGAAGCAACACATTTCTCCCTGCATCAATTTCTTCGTATTCTTCAATATCATCTTCTACAATGAGAGCTGATAGAATTCTTTGGTACAGTGGAGTAACTTTGTTGAATATTCTTCCTGGGTCTAGTGTTCCAAATAAAGAGGTGTCCTGAGATTGATCAACCAACTCGAATATACTACCTGACTCCTTGGATCCACTTTGATTTTGCAAGCGCCTATATCTTTTTTCACAAACTGTATCAGATACAGAAACTTCTTCATGCACAAGATCAACCTGAGAAAGCAAAATAAGTTCAAAACTATACATATAAGGATCCAGAACAATTCATCCACATATCCACATGATTAACAAAAGATAAATGGGTACTATCCTCTTGTGATTAATGAATGTTAAACTATACAAAAACAGTTCACGAAAAATCCATGTAAACACAGGGCATACCTGACAATAGAGAACACAAACTCAAAAGGAAGGTAATCAGAAATAAGGCTAATGTTGAGATGGATGGAAGGGAGACAATGAGAACAAACAAGCAAAGGAAGGAGAAATAAGGCATATGAAAATGAATTAAGTGCATTCTCAGAGTACATCGAAACAGACGAGTGTGAATTAATGCTACTATAATGGAGAAGGGTTTGTACCATCAACAAATAGTCAAAACTTTACAGACAAAACTATTGGGTTTCTCTTGGGCGAGAAAAGAATTGGTGGGCGAGCAAAGCACGAAAGAAAGTACAAGAGAACCTCATATAAACAAACAAAAACAAAGAAAGATTAAAAAGGGACGATTGGATAAGTAGACTGCCAGATGAAGTTCTTCTTTCCATTTCATCGTTGTTAACAATGAAAGAAGCAGCAAGAACTAGTGTGCTATTAACAAGATGGAAATATATGTGGACTTACATTACTAAGCTGAATTTTGATGCTTCAAAGATTTTGGATGAACTACAATTTCCCAATAAGTTACTTGACAGGGGAAGGCCTAAGTGCGTGCATTGGGTGAATCAAGTTCTAATTTTTTTCTTTTGTTTCCATTCCCATTTCTAAGCTGACCGGTATTGTGCACCGAAATGAAATTTGATCCTTGCTAGAAGCCAATGTACCTTGTGGCAATGTAACTGGTCTCACATTCAACCTGTTTGCTGTTTATTCATGCTATGCATTGCAAATTGTAAGGTTTGCTTTTTCTCAAATAAGTTGAAATGGAAGGCATGGTCAAAAACTTCTATGGTTCGTACTACCACTTTAGCATGGATGGAAGGAAATTTACTTCTTAAAAGTAACTATTCTTGGGGCTTAACTTGCAAGATTATTTTTAATGAAACGGTCAATTTTTTCCTTCGATGAAATGAAAGTTTTGTTTCCTATCAAAAAAAAAAAGAAGACCAGAAACAGATAATGATAGACAGTCCCTTGCTTTTCTTTTTTGCTTGTTATTGGGCTTTAGATTTTCTTAATAATGGAACACGTCAATTCATAAAAAGTCAGCAGTGAAATGACTCCTATGATGAAGTATTATTAAAAATTGTTTCCAATTTGCAGTATATCATCCTGTGCTTCTCAGATTGCTGTTGTTGCTCTAACTTATGGTTGCTATAGGATAAATGTTTATGCACTTAGCTCAAGGTGTTGAAGTAGCTTAAGACCAGAGAAATTTGTTATGGATCTATTTGGTCCTGTATATGATGTTTCCCTCAAGAATAGTGATGTAGACTAGGAAGGGAAGAATTAGGGATGGGAAGAGAAGAAAAAAGGGATGAGAAAAAGAAAGAATTTTGAGAAGGAAGTAATATCAATACTCAATAATCATCAAAGTCTAATCTAAATAAAACCCTTACATGCATCCCTTTATATAGGGAAACTAAAACCCTAAAATAAATAAATAATGACAAATAAACTCTCATAAGTTAAAAAAAATTACTTAAAAGATAAATATTAAAAGTATCTAATAACTACCATAATTAATCTATAATATCTATCCAATTTCTACACAATCCCCATCATTCTCCCACGGTTGAGAAAAACTCTCTTCCAGAGAGTTTTCAAAGTAGAAGTACACTACGAGAACAGAACGAAGATGACAGAACGCTTCATCTAGAATGAAAAAACCATCAATGTCTCTTTCCATTGAGCAGAATAAATACAACAATCTCCATCTGTAGCAATGTAAATTTGGTCACGAAGCATATCATCTATTTGGCTCGAAATATGCGATGGAAGTGGAAAAATAAGAACTAGAGTTAGTGCTGAGGAAGAAGCAATTCCACCAGCTCGATAACAAAATAGGAAGTTCTGGAATACCTCAATTAAGTAGCATGTCCTCCAAAAAAAAATTTGGACTAATACTAACATTCAATGAAAAATTAAGCAAATAAGCATTAGATCCAAATTCAAGAATAGCAACACAATTCCCATTAAATTTGAACAAAAGGCATTCAGTGGGACAAGACATCAATGACAAAGGAGTAAGTATAACACCCTGGTGTTGAAAATAAGATAGTACAGACTCAATAGAACACTTGACAGTAGGCAAAGAAACAAAGTTTACACTCTCAAGTGGGACAGAATCCAAAACAAAGTCAACAATCTTAGGTGGAGAAGAATCCACAATAATGCCATCATGATTCGAAATATTAGACATAGAATAATTGTTAACAGATTCTAAAATAGATAGTTCAATATGTTCAACATCTTGCATAGGAACCAACTGAATGGATTTTTCCTCAAGTTCAATAATTAGTGATGATTCAACTTTTGACTCCGATGAAGTAGGAAACATGATAGGATCAAAAATAATCTCATCACTAGCATCAATGTTCAAACGATTGAAAGTATGTTTTGAATGATGAAAAGCATAAGAGTCCAACGGAAGAGAAATATGGCTATCATTATGCGGGTGTCTGACATTAGGTGAAACCGAAGACTTGTCCTTATTTTCTTCCATTTGCTAACTTGCAAGAATTTTAGTCAAGTGGGAAAGTTGAGTTATTAATTCAGATAATTGGTTTTTCATCCCTCTACACTCTTCACGTAATTGGCCGAGTGAATGTTTAGTATTGGCAACTCCAATTTCAAAGATCTCAACATTTTTCTCTAGGGCAGTTTGGACTTTTGAATGCTCACTAATGACATTGAAGATAGATCCAAATTGACCTTGATGATGACTTTGGGAAGCATGACGTCGGTAACTGTTATGCGACCTAAGTGTCCCAGAGTAGTATTCAAGACAATCTTCATAATAAAACTCAAACTTACTATGGACTTTATGATGACTCCGAGAACTATAAGAGTGGAATAGGTATAGTGATGACGTTGTGGAGAATTGTGAACTTGACATTCTTGATGTTGGATAAGTATATAAATAGGCATCATAACGATCATATGAACTCATGATTGACTTTGAAAGATGAGAATAACATAAGAATGTGTTCAAGAATGCAATTGATAATTACAAGAAGTGAAAACACTTAAATAGAAGAAAATATGTTTTGGACCATTTGCAAATTCTCTAATTTCCCAATAAATAAAAATATTAGTCTCAAATTTCTATAGGAGTATGCATACCATAATCAAGAGAAAATTCTGAAACTTTTTGGGGATGATTCTGAAATTTCTGAAACTTTTGGGATGATACTTCTGTAATTTTCTGGAATTTCTGGGAGTGATTCTGCAATTTTTTAAATCTGTTGGGGATGTTTATGTAATTCTGAAATTTCTAGGGTGTTTCTGTAATTTTTGGAACTTCTAGAGTGATGTTTTTGTAATTTTCTAAAACTCCTGGGGAGATTTCTTCAATTCTGGAGTTCTGGGTGATATTTCTGCAATTTGCTTAAACTTATCTGCAATTTTCTTGACCTTCTGGGGGTGTGCACTAATTGACTAATTATTCATCTACTGGAACCGTGCCCTGCTTTTAAAGAGGCTATGTAGAGAATACATAGCATACATAAAGTAACATTCATTACAATAACCATCGAATATGGTTATAAATAGTTTTCTTTACCTTCATTGTATTTATCTATTTCTTCAGCAATAAATTAAGGCCTCAAGTTCAATGGAAAACAAATGGAACATTTTATCCCCCTCACACATTTAAAGTCCCATCACTAATTGAATAATATTAATTAGAACCGAAGTTGCACACAAAATTTTGGCAATGAGAAAAGGAGATCAACATCCACTTATTTTTTTGGTCATCGATCAACATCCATTTAAAATGACAAATAATGAGGGTTAAGCACTGAACAAGGCGTAGTAAGACATTAGAGGCAATATAATCAACAAAAATGACTCCTAAATTGATTGATGATGATGCAGATATCAATATTTCTGATTTAGGAAATACCAAAACATCAGAGTCATGGCTATCTTGAAGTTCCTCCGCATACATCAGCTGATCCAAAAGAACATGAGGACATGAGAATCTGATAGGGCACTTAAAGAAAATTTAATGTTTTTTACAGAAAATGCAAACAAAGTATAATATAAAACATCTTTCTCCTGCTAGATATGGTCATTACTTGTTGAGTTAAGTAGGATCTATCCTCTAAGCTAACAAAAGTGAAAATTCGTTCCATTTTCTTCCAAAACAGGCTAGAACAGGCATGATCTGCAAAAGCAAGCAGTATTTCAGTTATAAATGTGTTCATATTGCACAAGAAAGAGAAAAAGGAAATTTATTTGTAGCAATAAGAAATTGGTGTCAGAGACATACAACTAGCATTACAAGCAAAATTTGCCGCTGTTAAGAGTTCTTCATGATCATCATCTGATTCCCCTAGAGTATCATATTCAAAATAATTATGCATTTAAAGTAAGACAGTAACTGTCAATGGGATATTGGAATTGTGTGCATGTTTTTCCTTGCCTTTTTTTTTTTTTTTTTTTTATGTGTAGGGGGTGGGGGTGGGAGGTTAAGACAAATAGGAACGATGCTTAATTAAAAATAATTTAGGGGTCCAAGCACAACATTGGAGTTTTCTTTTTCGGGGTATAGGGTGGACGTCAGTGAGCCCACAGTGAGCCCAAAATAACCGAACGGGAATAAGCAAAAGGCAAATTTCTCAATAAATATGCCAAAATACACCAAACTCTCACTGTAAAATGGAAACAGATAATGACCATCTGCAGCACATACATAATCTCAAAGTTGAAGAGTTAGTTTTAACGATCTACCATTGATATCAGGGGTACCAATATTTGGCACATTTCCAAGACGAGAAAAGCCTTTGCGATCAGACAGCTTTTTTAAAGACCGGCCGGACTTACTGCAATGTTTGATACAATTCTCCATAAGTGCCAAAGGCCATTAGAAAAAATAAGAGCGGAATATTGATTTCCTATTAAAAAAATATCAGCACCTTCCATTCTTATCAGAACCAGGTCTTGTACTTCGAAGTGGCTTTGTCATGGCTGCACTATCCAACTTCTCTTTTACTGGTGAAATACTAGCCCTAGAAAATGAGAAACCCCTTCCACTTCTCCCTTGTTTACGTACACCATCACCAATTTCTTCCTTGATAAGCAACTTACTCTTCTTTGCAAGCATTGCAGAAGGCCCAACATTCTGTATAGCATTTCCAACTTTTTCCTCTACTTCTCCACTACTTATAACTTTTTCCTTTAGTCTGTTTTCACCAGCACCAGATTCTTCACTTTCAGATAATCTGGCTGGGGATGAAGCATTTTCATTAAATAGTTGGGTACCACTAGCTGCAGCCCTGGAAAGAAGAGAACTAGTCGTTCCGCTAGAGGTTAATCTAGCACCAAAATCGGATGGGGAACAACCTTCAGATGATGTCTGCGTTTCATCATGGTTTGAGACAGAGGAAACCAGATTAGCCCTCCTAGTGCGAGAAATTTTCTGTGGTCTCTGACCAACCCATTGAGCCATGGGTGGAGAGGAAGATCCAGAGGGCACTGCACGCTTGCGATTGATAGCCCTACGGCCCCCACCAACTGAAGGAATTTTGTTTGCACTTGGTGGCTGTTCCCAGCTCTCAAGTGTTGCAGGTACACGACGTATATTAGGAGCTGAGTTTGTTGCCACCACAGGGCCTGTTCGTGGGGCCCAAGAAGCCTTGACTTTTGTAACTGGACTAGCACATATGACATTATTGCCCTCGTGATTACTTAACCTAGCAGATGACAGAGATGCATCGACCATCAGAAAATGAGGCTAGGAAAAGATCATATTGTCAAAAGAATCAAAAATGCAAAAGTCATCTCTCAACTTTAATCACAGCTATAGATAAGTCTGACCCTGGCTAATAGCATCATATGCCTAAATGAGTGAATACATACTTATTGCTTCCTTTTATTAGCAATCTCTCCTTAGTTAATCCTGCTGTCAGATCCTTGGAAAAAGCGGTCTTTTCCTGCTCACTTTTGGATGTTGCACATGCACTAGAACCACTAGGCAAGGAAGTATCATCCAACTTGTTAAAGCCACCAGTACCACTAGAAGCTCCTGATCTGTGACATGTGTGAAGTTTTAACGGCACAATTACTGCCTTTTTGCATTTACGTAATGTATGAAAAGAATAGGCATCTCTGAGGACATAGTAGATTATCCTTCTCCATTACCTCATAAGCAGCATAGACTAAGGTCAAATTAATGCAAAATAATAGGCCTATAAAAGATATATGAAAGAAAATGAAGTCGAAATTGACATAGAATTGAAAATGGCAGTGTCAAACCGACACTGGCTAATGTAACAATATTATACACTCATTATACCCAAATCAATCCCCACTATAATATGACAAGCTTTTCAAAATTTATCCAATCCAGTCCAACTGAATCAATTCCAAATTTCATTTTTCCTAAATTTACTTGCATGCATTTTCTTGCAAATAAACACCGGCGAGGACTTGCTTATCAAGGGGAGGGGTGCTTACCCTAATACAATCAGTTTTGGCTAGTAGCCTTCTTTATTTCTTATCTCTTTTTAAGATTCCTAAGATAGCTGTTTTGGTAGAGAAAAGGATGAGAAAATTTTTGTGGGAGGAGAGTGATGAAGGGAAAAAAATACCAACTAGCTAGGTGGAGAGTGGAGTTTAAACCTAAGACTAAGGAGAGTTTGGGTGTAGGAAATTTAGTAGAGTGATATATTGCCTTGTTAGGTAAATGGTTGTCAAGTTTCCCACTTGAGCACGATCCCTTGTGGAATGATGTTATCAAAACTAAAAGTGGACTTCATCTCAATGGGTGGGACTCAATTATGGAAGTTAGGGATTCTTTTAGTTGTCCTTGGAAATCTATTTCACAGAGTTTAAATGGTTTCATGTAGCATGTGAGGCTAGGCATGGAGACTGGTGAGCAAATACGCTTTTGGAGATGGAGGGGTCATTATTCTATTTCTTTGTCATTTCTTCGTCTTTCTAGATGATCACGATCTCAAGATGCTTCCATTGCAACTTGCAAGTAGGTATTTTGCATCGTCTTCTCAAGGGGGTGGAATATTAGTTTCTTTAGGGCCTTGAATGGTGGGGAGGTGTTGGAACTTTCCTCCTTGTTGTCTTTGCTTCAATCAGTCTGATTAATGTCAGGTATGGGTCACAAACGATTGTAGATTCTTGATTTTTCTGGAGTCTTTCTTGCAAATCTTGCTTCCATATTTTGACTAATGATCCATCTTCTTTAATTTTTGAACCCATTTGTTGATTTGGAAGGCTAAAGTGCTTGTTAAGGTTTAGAATTCTGCTTGGAGTGTAGCTCAGGGAAAGATTAATGCCTAAGAGTTGTTACCACTTCTCTTTTCCCTCAATGGTGCCAATGTGTAGAAGATGTAATTGTGAGTGATGCAGAGAGGGAAGGAAAAGAAAGGGGATAACCAATCCTCACAAGGATTAGGTCAAGAAACACAAATCTTGACAAATAAATTTCAAACTAATATTTAACTCTAATTAAAATAATGTAAAATACATCCTTATTTATAGACCAAATGTCCTATCATAAATGAACTATTTTACTACTAAAACTCTATGAATTTATCCTTACTAATCTCAATCTGATAAATACAATCTAACTAAAAATTTAAATAATAAATAATAAAAATCCTAACAAATCTACCAAGTATTCCCTTTGAACCAAAAACTCTTAGCCTTTCGCCTAGATTTCCAGATTCGGTCACGCTAGTCCAACCATCCAATGGCTACGCCATCAATTCTCCCCCTCTGAAAAAAACTCGACTCCGACAAGTAAGGAAAGGGGCAAGAATACCATCTGACGAAATAGTTCGAGGAATTCATGATGAAATCTTTTTCCATCGATGTTGAGGCTTCTCAGCGATGACCTTACTTCCAATAGAGAGAGGACGAATATCACCCAATATAGGAACATCAATCAAATCATCAAAATTAGCCTCATGAACATCAAGAGGCTCTACAACTTAAATCTCATAATCTAACTCATTAGATTCTTTAGTCTGCTTGACGATTTCCTTTTCAATTGTCGCAAAAGCCTTTGTAGGACATTGGAAAGACAAATGACGAAACCCTTGACAATTAAAGCATTTGGTCTTGGCATTAGGGTTAGCGCCTCCTTGAAAATTAGAAGTAACACCAGGGCAAGTTGGTTTATTAGGGACAAAAGTACTTTCTTGTGGTTTAGGCAATGACTTACCTAGATTTGCATCCACAAAAATCCTTTCACTTTGAGTTGTAGACACCCTAGAAGACCTCAAATAAGCCCTCTTTTTCAGATTGTCTTCCATTTGATAGGCAACCTGAACTATATCCGTCATAGTGTAAAGACGACTTACATCTAACCCTGAAGAAATTTTTGAATTGAGCCCTTGCTTATACATGGCGATCATTACATCCTCAATCCATGGGAGCTCAGATCTGGTGGCTAAGTGTAGAACTTTCTTATGTAATCCTCGATGGACATGCTTCCTTGATTCAACTGTGTGAACTATAGAAGAGCTCGTTACTTATAATTAGCAGGCACAAAATTAACGAGTCATAGCAGTTTTCATATCATCCTATGATCCATCAAGATGAATGATGTAGGACAACTTTGTTAAAATAGGGGCTGTAAACAGTACCATGAACAGTAATTATGTTGTGAACAGTAACTTTAAAAGTAACTTTGACTATGAATCACTCATAGGGTTCTTTAGGCATCACACATAGGGACTGTTTGGTAAGGGAGTATAAGGGGTTTGACAATATGGGTTTGAGAAAAATAGTTCAAAGCTCCCCCAAATCTCATGTTTGTATAGAAAATTCAATCTCGGATATCCGTGAGTACTACATATGTATGTATTGCATGCCAAACACGAGTATGAACCGGATTGAACGTTGAATCTCATCTTTACAAGGAGGGGATTGGGTTTGGGTTTGGGTTTGGGTTTGGGTTTGGAAGGGTTTGAAAAAGTCAATCCAAACCCCTCCCTAAAATTCATCCAAACAAACCCCTAGGGGTTAGAATTGCATCACACAACTCAAGAAACATATAATTGTAGAAATTTCTAAAATATCACTCCCTCTCTTTTATTAAAAATATCACTAACTATATATAGAGTTCTAAGTACTCCTAATCCCAAAAATTAGAAAACTAAAATTAACTAGAACTAGAACTTTAAATTCTAGAATACTAAACAATAGAATTTGACCCAAAAATATTATTCATTCTATAAATTACAGAAATACCCTAGACTCTAAAAAATATAAAAAAACACCACATAAAACACTAATACTATCAAACTAACTAAAAGCAACTAAAAATAAGACTCCATTTATGCTTATGCAAGCTCCCAAGCAAACTTCGCATCATCTAACATGTCTTAAATTAAAACTTGAGCCTTCGAAGCATCTTTTCCTCGCCTTTTATAAACTTTATAAGGTTGTTTCCATTTGTTCCCATCATCTCTCCCCACCTTAAAAAATTTGACCCGGCGAGTTAAATGCATGAAACGGTTCATAAAAATAGGAATTTAGGCATTGAAACTCATTATCGATGATCCACGTGCAATCAGAAAGTGGATGCCCCTTTCCATTTGATGAGATACTTTTGATAGCCGCCTCCTCGTGCAAACACAAGTTGATGATCAATAACATCTTAAATCTCTTCCTTCACCCGTGGAGCTTATGGGAGTTTAGCAACAATAACATATGTAGGTGTATCATCATCATCATGCCCTCAATATATAGTAAGATCCTTAATATTGAAGACATTACTTATCCCCATATTTTCCAACAAATTAAGAACATAGGCATCAGAGCTTATTTTCTTTATAATCTTGTAAGGGTCAGCACTTTTTGAATGAAGTTTCTTGTATGCACCCTTAGGATACCTTTTAGGCCTAATACGGACCATAATCATGTCTCCTTCCTTAAATCAGCAAAATTTTTCTCAAATCAGCATATGCTTTGTAACTATCGTTGCTTGTTGCAATCCTTCGTCGCACATCATCATGTATCTCATGCATGTGTGTGGCAAAAACATCAACTTCAAAACTAGGACAAGCCTATATGGGTAACGGAACCAAATCTATTGGTTTCCTATAAAGTAAACCTGTCACACTCTCAAAGGGGCTGCGACCTGAAGATCAATTAACAAAGTTGTTATAAGCAAATTCAGCCATAGAAAGTACTTGATCACAATTAACAACATGATCAACAATAAGTCAACGAAGGAGATCTCCCAAACTTCGATTAACAACCGTTGTTTGCCCATTGGTTTGTGGATGAAAAAAAGAAGAAAAACCCTTTAATTCTCCAAAATTGCATATAAAACCCTACAAAACAATTTCCATAAAGTTCTCCAAAAATAACTCATAAATTTCACATCAGAGTCCAAGACAATTATTTTAGGTAGCCCATGAAGACAAACAACTTCTTTAAAGAAAGGTTTAGCAGTATGGATGGCATCGGATATCTTTGAACAAGAAAAAAATGAGCCATCTTTGAATATTGATCCACAACCACAAAGATAAAATCATAACCCCGAAGGGTTCTTAGCAATCCTAGGACAAAGTTCATACTTAAGTCTTGTCATGGTTCATGAGGAATAGGTAATGGCATGTACAAATCTATATTTTTCTTCCTTCCCTTTGATATTTGACAAGTCCGACATCGAGAGACAACTTTGGCTACATCTCGCTTCAGACTTGGCCAATAATAATGATCTTCAACCATGACAATGATTTTATCTCTTCCAAAATGACCAGCTACCCCTCCAAAATGCAGTTCCCGAATCACTTGTTCACGTAGAGATGTGTTAGGCAAAGAAAGACGAATTTCCTTGAAGAGAAAAATCTGAATATGCTGCATGATGTCCAGCTTTCAAAATCAGTATATTAATATATATATATATATATATATATATATATATATATATATATATATATATATATATATATATATTTGAAATCCTTACAAGATGGGTAGTCCCTTTTAAGCAAATCAAAGTCTACCACTTTTATGGTCACTGAGGAAAGCATAAGCACCTTTCGACTTAGGGCATCAGCTGCTTTATTCTCAACAACTGTCTTATGATTGATCACAAAAGAATATTCTTGCAGAAAAGAAATCCATTTTCTATGTTGATGATTCAACTTCTTTGGGGAATTGATATATTTAA